ATTAAAGTATTTTAGAATGCTTCTCAGTACAATCGTTAGTAACCATATTTCAGTCAGTACAAGTAATTAAGTGTCTTTTTACATTGTTACATTCAGTTTGCACTTAAGTATATACTTTTAAAAATATATTATTTCCGTAAATACTCTTGCTAAGATGCACTTCTTTCACAAGGGCAATCACTCTGGAATCGCAGGAAAATTTGCAGGCGAAATCCAGTCATTTCATTTGTGCGTTCGGGCGTTTTATGAAGAACTTCCCTATGCAGATTTTACTCTGCGTTCAAGTTGTTCATGCAAATTCACTGTGCTGACCAACAGAAAGCTGCTTGGTTTGAAAGTGACATGAGATGTGCTTCATCGCTATACCATTTGTCCAGGCTTAACATGAGCCTTTAACTCGGTGCAGTGGATTAAATACACCACAGCTAGCTCAGGCTTTGAAGATTTCCAGTAAATATAAATGATTTAGCCTTAATTAAAAACCCAGGAGTCCTTGTACTGTATGTGTCAGTGAGAAACGTGTGCTAGCTTGAGCTCCAATAATGGTATTCAGGTTGGGAATTGTGCAGCCTTGTGTATGAACAGCTCTCATGTCCTTCATCAGGAGTCAAACATTTGGCACTGACAGGCTCCTCGTAATCTCTCCGTCTGAGAGCAGGCTGATGGTGGGAACGCCGGCCCGGACAGATGACATGTTAACAGAATCATTTCACGCCCCAGTACACACACCAACACTGATTTATTCACCCGCTGCTGTGCTAAAGGTCCCACGCATCTGATTTATGCACCCCGGCCCAAATATCTAATTTCATTTGAAAATAAAAAAAGAAAGAACAGGAAGGTAGAAGCAAGAGATAGAGGGGGAGAGACAGGATGGTGAAAAAGTAGAGGAAGCACATCATTTTAAAGCGCGTCATGACGGTGTAGATACTATACATGATTATTGCACTCAGGCACAAACTATAAGACAAATGGGCCGGCAAAGGCAATCGCACAGTATTCTAACATGATCATTTCTCATATCCAGCATTCATAATCGAAACATCAAGCGGCATTAAAGCACCTTTACGCTACCCAAGCTCACTGAAAATGCGTGCTTCTACCTACATTTCTGCAAAACTCAAAAAATGTACCTAAACGTATGAACAGCTGCAGTTTCCAGCTAAAATGACGTTCAAAAGTGTTTAGTTCAAAGAAAAGTAAAGGTTCAAAAGCTGTTGTATGTTGAATGAGACATATCTATGTCTTCATATCAGTTTATTGTTTAAAATGGTCCGTTTGTGTGCTTTTCCACTAGGAAAAAACGTGACCTTTCCAAAATTATTATGTAATGCGTTTAGTCGTGGACGCACGTTGCAGAGCTAGTGCAAGACGATCATTTGTGGTTAAGAAGTATATACATTTTTACTTATCTTATTTATTGTTTATTTAGATAAGACAGTTTACCCTTATTCCTCGACTGGGATTGTGTAGAGCCCTTTGAAGCTGCATTGAAACGGCAATTTGGACCTTCAACCCGTTGGTCCCTGTTTAAGTCCACTCTATGGAAAAAAAAATCCTGGAACGTTTTTCTCAAAAACCTTAATTTCTTTTCGACTGAAGAATGACAGACATGAACATCTTGGATGACATGGGGGTGAATACATTTTTATTCTGGAAATGAACTAATCCTTTAATTAAAGCTCATCTTTGTAGCTCTCTGAGGTATGTTTCAGTTGTAAAATACTACCCTGTATCAGACATATACATTTTACTTGACAATTTTGCTTCCTGACTTTAATTTCATATGTGAATTTCCTTGACTGTTTGATTTCATTTCTTTTCGCCAATTTTAATTAATTTAGGTCACAAAAAATAAAATAAAAAATATGAATAATCCTATTGGTCCCAAAACATTATTCACTTCTTCTATGCAAAAACGTAATTAGTTTTTCCCCTTCTGATTTGTCATAAGCTGATATTTGCATACAAGTTTCATCCACTAATGCAAACCCTAGACAGAAATGAGAGTCTGATTTAAGTTAGAAGACAGTGATCTCACCATGGACGCCAGTTTGTCACAGATATAGCAGAAACACTGATCACAGTGCTTTCCATTATCTTGTAGAGGTCCTGAAACGTCCTGCTCTGCTCGACTAGAAAAACCAAACGCACAAAGACACATAAACACTCACAAACACAAAACAAGTCCTTTACATAAGAGAGGAGTCACTGTTTTACTGACCAGAATGCAAGGGTGCAGTCGTATCTTGCGTGTGGAAGCACTGTTGCAGTTTGGGTGTATGTGATGATCAAATCTTCATCCAACTCCTCAATATGTTTTGATACATCTGAGATCAACAGAAACAGAACACCACAGTGCTGCTGAAGGATTGCTGTATTCATATACCATAGTATTTATAGCATGGTACGCTAATGAAGTTGAAGTAACGTTACTGCTATTGTACAAGAAGGAAAAAATGTTATTACCATGGTCATAAAAAAACACTATGGCATTACTACTACAGCACATGCAAAAGAACACATGGTATTGGCCTATGGTATGGTTCTTTTATGGCACGAGTGAATGCTCACGATAACTTTTAGTTTTGTTAGTGTCGTGTTTAAATATTTATGTAACAGATTACCTGCTTCGTTCCTCTCGTTTTCAACGATCAGCACAGAGGAATCATTGTGGGTCATCCAGAAGTCACCTTCTTCATCATCATCATCATCGCTCAAAATGATTATAGGTATGTCGTGCTCCGTCCTACAAAACATGACAGACAATGAAAGGAAACGACCTCTAATACCAGGCTAACTCAGCTGGCATTGTGTGCGTTTCGTAAGAAACCCTTTAACATTTACTTCGTTCGATTTATTTTGTAACTCAGTCAAAAAACTTACATGATTTATCGAATGAACCGTCAGCGACCGCTCGCGTTCAAAGTTTGGCGCTTTGTTTAAGCTGGTTCACGTGACTCTGACAAAATCGGAAATGTTGTCAGCCCAAAAGCTTTCCAAAACCCGCCCACTCCAAGAAAAAACCCGCCCAAAAACATTAACTGCCAAAAGAATGTCATAGAAATCTATTACTATGTCAACCAAGGTTGATCCGTTTCGTAAGGACCTCATTAAAATTAGATAGTGACCAAATCAAATTATAAAAATGAATTAATTTCCCAAATAAGAGAACAATACAACAAAACAACGGATCAAAACATGGCAAATCAAGTAAAAGAAAATTTTACACATGACAAAAAATGTTTCTAACCCAACAGGTAGAAACTATTAAAGGTGATATCATGAAAATCGGACTTTTCCAGGTTTTAAGTGCTATAATCAGGTCCCCGGTGCATCTACCAACCAAGGAAATGTGAAAAAGATCAACCCAGTGACTTTGTTTTGGTAAGCCTTTTTCTGCAAGCTTCTGAGAAAACGAGTGCATCTGATTTCAGTAGCCCCTCACTGCAGAACAAAGATCCAATTGGACAAAATAGCCCCGCACAATATTGCGGCACTGAATGTCAAATATTTGCAAATGGCAGTCAAGAAATTACCAGACCTTAATTAACTCTTTAAGAAACACAACATGTTTCGTTTTCAGTTCCAACAGCAAAAATCAGCCAGTTCAAGTGCAGATAAAAAGGCCCAATATACAGGTGCATCTCAATAAATTAGAATGTCGTGGAAAAGTTCCTTTATTTCAGTAATTCAACTCAAATTGTGAAACTCGTGTATTAAATCAATGCAATGCACACAGACTGAAGTAGTTTAAGTCTTTGGTTCTTTTAATTGTGATGATTTTGGCTCACATTTAACAAAAACCCACCAATTCACTATCTCAACAAATTAGAATATGGTGACATGCCAATCAGCTAATCAACTCAAAACACCTGCAAAGGTTTCCTGAGCCTTCAAAATGGTCTCTCAGTTTGGTTCACTAGGCCAGTGTTTCCCAACCTTTCTTTAGTTGCGGCACCCTTTGGAAATTTTAACAAACTTATGGCACCCTACAAAATTAATTTTGTCACAATATTTGAATTTCTAACTTCGATATGATAATTTGAAAGTATAGATATTCGGTACAACAGGGAAGAACTGCAGAATATAATGTCATACAGATGTTTTTAATATTATTAAAACATTTTGTCCATCAATGGTGGCAATCAGTAGGCTAATTTCTAACGAAGAGACCAATTTATATGACCGATTTTAATGTAGGCTTTTGTATATATGTAAACATTATTTAATTACCATTATAACTAGCTATCTCACAAATTTTTGCTCACTCAGTAGTTTTTTCATTTTACAGTGGGGTAATTTTGGTGCAGTAGCACGAGATTGATTTCAAACTTTGAATTGAATAAAAAAATGACAAGTAAGCAGTCAGTAATAAAATAAGAACAAATAAAGAAATTAATAATGATAGCACAAATAAAAAATAACGACAGGCCTTCGAATTAAATTGCGTTTTAGTTTTTCAGGTAGGTCTAACAGTAGGGTTAAGATATGTAGCATTTGGACCAATCAGACACACAACTTTTTGTTATATTTAACAAATAATATCTAACTCCCCCTCACTTAACCAAATGGCCAATTACGAGGGTCTATGGACCCTTCCCCCGAAATGCACCTAACACCTCAGAAAGGCAGAACAGGCCTCTGGTCACCATGACAACTAATCATGATATCACTGGTTTTATTACGCCTCCAGGAATGGGAGCACACTGCCTTATAGACAACCTTAAGACTAACATATTGATACTAACACCCAAAAAACTTTCATTTTGATTTCATGGGGACTTTAAAGGAACACAGATTGTTTCAGTGAGTACAGTACATAAAAAACTTAGCAAAAGTACCTAATAGAAATAAAATAATCAACATACTGTAGGCTTACTGGAAAATGTATTTATATAGTGCTTTCACAATAGATAGTTCCAGAGCAGCTTCACAGAAAATCATGATAATGTTTATA